TGGTTTTTGCATGATAATTAATGTAGTGAAACCCTAGATACAAGCATAGCACATGGAGATTGTATACCTGTAACTTTTTGGCAGCATTATGAAAATAATTTATCACTGCCTTCTTCCAGGAAACATTGAAACACTCAATAGGTAAACTAATAGACCTAAGATTTCCTAAGATTGCCCTATTCAGGCACTAACCAGGACCAATCCTGGTTAGCTTCCAAAATAAGCCAATACAAACTAGATTAATAACTTTTATTTTAGTTGCTATAATATTAAACTTAAATAAAATAAATGTGACAATAATTTTTTCTAGAGTTAAGAAATTAGTGCTCATAAGTTAATAGTTTGGGTACAGGTTTCAAATCTATAACACACTCTGATTTCTTTTTCCAAAGCATTTATTTATTTCTAGAACTTGTACTTTACTGCTTTCTATCCTAATGGTTAAAATAGACTATCCCACAGTTTATACATTCACCTATGAAATAAAGAAGGAGTTTCCACTTACTACAAAAGAAAACAAAAAAAATCATATATCACATTGCTTACAATATATTAGTTTTGTTTACCACTTCCAAAAAATATACCATAAAACAAAAAGTAATATCAGGATGTGATAAATGGACTCAATTGGTGTCAACTGGTGTATTGAAAATGCTGCTTCAGTTTATTAGAGCAATCTTATGAAGATGTATATGGCTTTTCTAAGGAATCCTCAAATATTTCTCAAGGTAATTATTAAATTGCAGCTAAAAAGAGAACCAAATTCCTTGGCTCAGTTACACAAACTTTCACAAACTCCTGCATTGCTCAATTGTGCATCAGAATAGTCTATAGCCAACAATGCAGTGCATGAAGAATTTAACTCCTGAAGTGGATTAAGAGGAATTGTTTGGCAAATGTTATCCATTTAAAAATGATTTTGCTAAAAACTTTTAAGGACAAATAATATACACTACAATTACCTATCTCTGCCAAATTGATAAAATACTGATCACTTCCTTTGTTCTTTGAAAAAAGATTTACCAAAACTTATAGAAAGATACTTTTAACTCTTTTATTTAGGAATCAGTCTTAATGCCTGGTGACTGCCAGGACAAGGTTCTGCAATTTTCTTGACAAGATTTCAGAACTATTACTGCCTGCTTCCTCGTGTGAGAGAAAGTGACTAGTCCACGGTCACCCAGTTGGCTTTGTGCCTAACGCTGAACTAGTATTCACAATCTCCTAGTTTCTATCCTGATGCCTTTACCTCTACACCAAACTGACTCTCAATATTCTTAGAAGGAATTAGGAATAATCTGCTACATTTCTTATTATGAATAACAATATTTTATCATATTAATAGTGCTACATACTCCAGAGCAGAACCAGATTTTAACATCATCCAGAAAATGTTTGCTTTTATCAAAAAAAGGCTTACTGGACTATTTCAGCAAAAAAAATCACATGTAACTATATTTATTGTTCAATAATTTTAAATCAATTGCTCCATGTCCAGCCTTGAGCAGCTATTGAAAATAACTACTCTTATTCTAGTTTCTATGATTTCCTCTTGAAATTTGTCGACCATACACAAATCTCCTCTATTTTTAATTTCTTTTGACTAAGTACCTCATAAGAACAAATTGTTCAGCACTCCAATTGATTTAAAAAAATTGTAAATGTACTCAAATTTAAAATAAAAAAGGTAGTCAGATAGTGAAGTAGAAGAAAAATAAAAAATCTCCTTTCTGTACTTATTTTGCCTTTTTAATGGTCACAGAGCTAACAATTAAAACCAGTACAGAACTGAAAGTTATGACTTCTTCTAATGTATCTTAGCAGTAGCAGTTTGGTGAGGTTGCTATGAACACTTGATAGACACTTCTAACCTTCAGTTTCAGGTTAGGTAAAATGACTATTAAATACATTTTTGTAATTACATAATAGTATGAATGGGATGTGGTTTATTACTCTTTCCCTTTGGGGGGACAAACATATTATTGTCTTTCGACTACAGCTCATCTCTGACCACGCTGTGCACTCTTTCTGAACTTCATTCGTTTTGCTTTTTCACTGATACATTTTTCTCTTGAGAACCATGAGAGTGATCCTTCATGTCCAGTTACTGTATTTCTTTTAAGCCTATGTTTTATTACATGCATCCCTTCTCTGGACAAATGGAAGATGACTCTCCTTGCAAGAATACAGCCAAGCAACCAGGCCAATAAACTATATTCAACTGGGACCAGTGATGGCATTAAGGACATCCTAGGTGCACTAACAATAGAAACTGTTGCTTGATCTCATGATGGCTCATTTCACTAAGTCTCAAACAGGAGCTTTGTAATAGACTCCACTGAGACAATAGTGCTCAGCCACTTGACTTTCATTCTATCTACTTTCAACTGGAAGTTGTAATACCACCAGCTGAAAAATCACAGGACAAGCCAGGCACAATTAAAATATATTTACATTTTCAAATTATCTAGAACTTGAAGTTCAAATGATCTTTATTATAACATTATTCTTTTAAACTATGATTTCCACTAACAAATGAAAAAAGAGTTATATATTTTAAAATTAAAAGCTCTTCAATATATTTCTTATTAAAACATAAATTCCTACAAAATCCTTCAGATTATAAAACCCACTCAAGATCCTCATGCTAAAAAACAGCAAAAGTAGAAATGCTTTAAAGATTGTCATTTTCTTTTCTATCACAGAATTAAAGTATTCTCTCAGGGGGTTTATGACAAGTATCAATGTAGAGAAAAATGAAAAGTACCTGAAAGGAAAGGAAATGAGGAAGAGGGGAAAGAGGAGATTGTTTAAAGCAATTAGGACAAACTTGGTTATTTCACAGCCCCCAGGCCACACCCAGCCCTGTCCGGTCCACAGGAGGTTAATCAGAAATTAGAAATCAGGGTAAATAAGAATACGCCAGCATGCAATACAACTACATTGCTTTTATTTTGAATGCGACTGCTACTTTTTTCAATTTATGTATGTGCATACCTATACACCTTCACTGTAATGTATTGATCCTATTGGTTTGGCCCTCCACAAAAATCCCAGTTTCTCAAGTGGCCCCTTAGGAAAATTAACTGCCCACCCTTATCTTAGAACATTTTATGTTGTCTTATAGAAGAGTCCCATGCATATCTGATTAGATTTGTATCACATTATTAGAATTTTTCCCAACATTCCTTTTAGGTAAACCAATGTGACCTCAGAATTTAAGTGTGTACAGGTAGTCCTTGACTTACAATCACAATTGAGCCCAAAATTTATGTTGCTAAGTTAGAAATTTGTTAAGTGAGTTTTGCCCCATTTTATGACTTTTTTGTCACATTTGTTAACTGAATCACTGCAATTGGTAAATTAGTAACATGGTTGTTTAGTGAATCTGGCTTCCCCATTGACTTTGCTGGTCAGAAGGTTGCAAAGCTGATCACATGACCCCAGGACACTACAACCATCATAAATGTGAGTCAGATGTCAAGCATCTGAATATAAATGAAGTGATCATGGGGATGCTGCAATGGTCATAAGTGTGAAAAATTGTTATAAGTTACTTTTTTCAGTGCTATTGTAACTTCAAACAGTCACTAAATGAACTGTTGTAAGTCAAGGACTACCTGTATTGAGATCTACTAACATCATTTGCTTAAGGCTTCTATTTCTTTTAATTATTGAGAAAGACAATGACAAATCACCTGCCAAGAAAACTGCAGAGACTTGTCCAGGCAATGTTCAAGAATCGGAAATGATTAAACAAAAAAAACAAACATTTGTGCTCACTGCACAACATCACAACTTCCTTCCCTCAACCTAAAGCTTCACATTTGACAACACCTTTCCATCCAGATGATTTATATGGTAACACTGACTTTTGTAATCCCAATGAAGTAAAATGGAATGCACACCTAAGTTATCTTAACCAGAAATGAATAAACATTTATCTTCCCATCCCACAAATCATTCATGTATACCCGCACCAGGCAAAACTCAATAAAATTCACTGTTCTATATATAACACTAATTCTCATAGTCATTAAATCTTTCTCTTCTTACAATTTCCATGCCTTCTAGCCAGTTTTTGTCCTACCCCAAGGAAATAATTGTGCTTCTGGAGAAGTGGATAGAAATGCCAGTCAACAGAAGGAATGAATACAGAAGGAAGTTGTTCCATTGGTATTTCTTTGGTATCCTCATTATAGTTATTTATTCCATCTCTGTCTCATACTGTTTTCATAATCATACATTGCAATGCAATAAATACATTGTGAGAGTACAGAACAGAGAGAAACTGGGCCAGATGTAACTGAATCGAAAGCTTGGAAACCACCAGAGCTGACCAGAACAGAACAGAAAGTGCATTTATAAGCAACTGTCACTAATAGGCAACAAGTGAAGGATAAACTACTAAAACATCTACTAATAAAACTTGTAACAATTTGCTGAATAAGTTGAGTGGTCATATAAATATTTTAAATAAATAAAAATAAAAAATGTGACACGCATATTCAGAGAACATGCATCTTTTGATAATAAGTCAATATCCTTTCTGGATAAGAGTTGGAGAGAAAGTAAATGAGCAAGACATACTATTTTGTTTGCTATAACTTCCAAAATACAGACTACCTACCAATTAACTAACATTCTCTTTCTAATAACTATCATGAGCTATATACATCAAACAATTTTGGAGTACCAATACTAATGCATATTTTATTAGATATCACATAGTTATATGAATTATATTTGACTTACGTTCAGAATATGCCCATCTTATTGCTATTTTACAGTTGAGAAAACTGAGCCAGTTTGTCCCAAATATAACACTCTGCCACTGAGGGCCATAAAAGGTATTAGGATATTTCCTCTTAGGTCTTTTTTATTTTTTAAAAAAATCTTGGTTTTTATTTATATTAAACCAAAAACAAAACTTTGAAATGCTGCAGTTTGGCAAAGATTTACTAAACTATACTTTAGAAAGTCATTTAGTGAATACTTACCCAAAATGACTGATTAAATCCATGGAAATACAAAGAAGAAAGCAGTTTTTGATCATGATAAAATCAGGAAGCATCCCATTGTCCATTCCCAATGAAATTGTTAATAGAATTGGTTGACTTTGCTGGAGTGTGCCTTTATCACCTTTGTTCTGGAGCTGCATCAAATAAGAGTGGCACACTGTAAATGTTTAATTCAATGCAATTAATACACCAGATTTCAAGCAATACATACTACAGCATTGTCAGATCAATCAAGGGTGTATTCAAGTTATCTGGATGACCAAACCAGTGTAAGATGATGTAAATATCATTCTATTTGAATGATCCATATATTAATCAAATCACCTGGCCTGCCTGAATCCCAAGCACAATGGGATCTTTGGGGCTACAGCTTGTTACTCTACCTAAATGACTATCCAGACATACAATATAAAAGTTATGTCTTATTCACATCAATCAGGTAAATAAGAAAGACATTCTTTTCTGACTGGAACTTCTATTTCTACGGAATGGCTGTTTAATCCATCCCATTTCTCTTTCTGTGCGGATGCTGTGTGTGCACACACTTCATAAAAATCATTCTTCTGTCTTACTTATTTTCTCTGTTTTAGAAAGGTGGCTCATTTGCCCTGAAATTCAGGATGCTAACATACAGTGCTCTCTTAAATAAAACAAAGGCCATACTGGTATTTGCTTTAGCAATGTATTACATAGGAAGGGTGGGGAAAGGAAAAAAGGACAATACCTGATCCCAAAATTGAGTGGCATTGCTTCTGTACTTGTTTGATCCATAAGGGGCAGATAAATTGTAATTGGGTTGGTCAGAAACATCTTAATGCCTCCAGAATTGTCACAGTTTGCTGGAGATACTATGCACTGAATGCCAGGGATATGTGTGCAAGGTTTTTTATTGTTGTTGTTGTTGTTTTGTAAGTGATGTGGCAGCCATCAGTCTCTGGAAATAGTCAAGTGACAACAGAGATTGATGGAAGGACTCGGCCTCGCTTAAAATTAAAACAAAACGCTTTCCCGAGCAGATTTACTTGTCAGCGACGTTACCTCGCTTAGAAACGATCTCCAGTTCTCTGCCGCCTTCACACTCTGGAATCGTGGATAGGTGCCTTCATTCACATTCACATTCACACACACACACACACACACAAACGCGCTCTGCCCCTTTCCCCCACCTTCATCCCCCTCCCTCGGTCAAAGTAAGAGGATTCTGCAGAACCTTCCTGCCTAGCCCTTCCCGCGTCCTAAAATTCACTTACTCGCCTCTTGCCAGAGCCCTGGCTGATCCCCCGCCCCTCGGGTTATGCTCTAAACATCTCTTCCCCCCCCCCATAGGAACGCACCTCCTCGAACGGACCGGGAACGGGCTAGGCCCGCGGCCAGATCCAGTCGCACAGTCTGGTTGGCGGCGTTTGGGTATCCTGCAGTTGTACCTGCTGTTGCGGTTGCTGCTGCATCTCAGCGCCCACCGCTGCAATGAAGCCGCTCGGACGTCTCAGTCTTCCCGCCCGCCAACCTCCTCGGCCCCCGCAGGCGCTCCCAACTCCTACAAACTCCTGCCGAAGTGCAACTCGCGGAGGGGCGCCGTCATCCCTGAGGGCGGCCCGGCTGCGCTCCCCTTCTGGAAAGCGAAGAGAGTAGCTCTCCCCATTCGCCCCGTCCAAACTCCCCCTGCCCTTCCTCATCATCCAAGCCTCAAGAGATCCCCAGCTGGTGGAGGGAGTGGTCCCTTCGAAACCAAATACGCGGAGATGGTCTCTTGCCGCGGGTCTCTTGCCTTCGGACCGGAGGAGGTCTACCGGTCGCCGGCTCTGCCCAAGTCCGCACTTCCCCTCCCTTCGTGGCTCGCCGCCATTCCCCGACAGAATAGCGCAAAGATTCCCGCCAATTCATAACCCGGGGAAGAAGATGGGCGGCTTACCAATGGCCGAGAGGCTCCTCCGCGCGAATTGCGCCTCTCTCCGCAATCGCTTTCTGCTAGGGCTGCTGCCGCTGAATTCGAAGCTGCTACTACTACCGGTGACAAAACATCTTCGTTCCTCCCAGCCTTCCCCCCCTTTAGAAATCCCGGGAAGGGCGTTAATTGATTTGATGCGAGCGGCCTCCCATTTTCCAGGGCTCCCGGCGATTCCTCTGCTCTCTTTCCTTCGCCTCGGATCTTCCCTTATCCCCGCTAGCCTTTCCCTCGTACTCTCCACATGGCTATTCCTGGACTGGCAGAAAAACGGATGCCGCGCGGCGCGGTGCCGACAGAGGCCGCTGCACGAGGAGCAAAAATAGTTCATATTAATTGCTGCGCCCCTATTTTTACATACGTAAAGGTGCTTAGCCAAGCGCTCCCGAAGTGCTATTGTTTCTAGGACCGAAGATTCCGAAGGCGGAGATAGTTGTGTTTGGGATTCTTCAGTTAGAGAAGATCCAGGTTGACAAAAGAAAAGAAAAACAAGGAAGTCCAGTTGCCTCCTGAAAAAGCATCTTTGGGACTGAACTGTGATTTTTAGAAATCCGGAGATTCTGGACCGATTCTTATTCTGCGGATAAGAAAAATACGACAGGAAATTAGAACGCTTGCCTTTTCGCACTGGATTTATATCGTTTTCTTACGTCCTCACACGATTTAGGCTATTCAAAAAATTTGGAGGGGGATCATAACAAGTCTGTGCTGTCAGAGGAATAATGAACATCCCCAGCAGATTGTTGATCAGATTGGTGGATTGTCTTGAGCAGAAGGAATGGTTAGTGAAATGATAACAGCTTATCATTCCCAAGCAGTTGAGGGAGATGAAACTCCATGAATGTATGCTAAAGTGGAATTTGCTCTAAATTAAATAAATATTTAGAATTTAGTTCTAAGCGGCAGTTTTCTGTAATTCCAGTTGCACTTCAATCAAAATTCTGTATGTAAATTTCCAAATTCAAACAAGTCTGGATACACTAGTTCTGTTTCTTCTAAATAAAGGAGGAGCAAAGGAGATTGTAAACCACATGCTCTATTCCTCTACCACCTCTACACCTCCCCTTTAGCACAGGACTTCCCGCTTCACCCTTCCCTTGACAGACCTCAGTTTGAAGTGTACTTTGCATTGAACAGCAAGGTCTTTTTCTTAAAAATATTGTTGCATTGTCTAATAACCAAATGATGGAATGGGTATAGGTGAATGTATTTCCTGCTATGGTCATATGCTATGATCTCAGCTTTAGAAAACAAAGTAAGCTGGTTTGGCAGACTTCCTAGAGAAAGCAACAGTACTATATATATATATATATATATATATATATATATATATATATATATATATATATATATATATATATATAACCTGGCATAGCTCTTCTTTTGGCCATCTTTGTATTTCTTAACTGTTCATCTTTGTATAATAATCCTTTATAACTTTCAGTTCACAGGAGATATGGGAACCTGAGACATATTTTAGTCCCATTTTTTCTTTTTGTCCTGGTTACTTCTGCTAGCAAATTATGGTTTGATTCACATGTTAGAATGTAATCACCTTGTGTGTTGGATGAAGTCAGCTACTGCAGAATCATATGTTTTGTGATATGTTACTCTGCAATGACTAATTTGCTGTCTGTGACCTCCTTATTTACTTAAAGCATCTCTTACTGCTTATGGTTTACATGTCTCTGTGAAACTCTAGAAATATATACAAAATGGTCAGTATATGAATTGACTTCATTGCATGAAAAGACCATTCCTCCCAAAAGTTCTAGCTTAGTGAGGGAACATGTCCTTAGAAACAGAAGGTCCCTGATATTTCCAAAGACTTGGGGAAGAGCCATCACTGAAATCTCAGAAAACTACTACCAGTAAATGGGCTATATATCTTCAGTCAAAACTGGGGCAACATACAATAAACCTCCAGTTAGAAGATAGGAGGTGCTCTGAATTATTGTAATTGACAGAAAGAAGAGCAAAACATCATCTCAATTGGCATGGAAGAAGTCACTTATTGGGGTGAAAAGGCTCATCGTGTCCTAGGGCATTGAATGGTCTAACAATTGCAATTGAGTAACTTTTTGTCCAACCAGCTAAGAATATTGTTCTGAGAGGGGATAAATTCCCATTCATGGTGGAAACACACACATCTTAAGTTGGGATTATTTCTGAAAAAAGGGCTGACAATTGTACTGAAAGTATATATTCTGCAATGAACCCCAAATGCTTATTCTTATTCTGCTGTAGTCTGTATACATTCATCTGGAAACCACTCACTGAACCACTTCTGAGGAGAATGAGGATTCTGGAGGATGCCTTTTGGATCACCTTAATGACAAATTGTCCCATGAATTATTCCTCATCTCTAAAACAATGAATCCTGCAAGAACCTAACTTCCATATTTTTCAACAAGATATGGTGCTTAACAGGTACACATACACCTGTCAATATGAAAAATATATTAACAGTAACTTGCTATCAGACACATTCTATGACCATATTTTCATAATGGCATCCCTTAAGATCAGAATATGCATGCCTTTCTGTAAAGTTGTCTGTTGGCTCCAAGGAGATTTGAGTGGTTAATGTAAGCTCCATTATCTAATATGTGTATATGCAATTCACTAAGTTTACTATTGTATTATTTTAAAAAATTAAAATCAAGGAATGCAAGAATTTTTGCTATAGGTGAACAGTTATAAACATCTAAATTTATATATGTGTGAATGAAGCAGTTTCAAACTATTAGTGTTACCAACTCTCTGTGTTACCATGTTCAGAACTGAAAATATTAAAGTCTATATAATTTTTAAAAAGTCCACACAGATATTAATATTTCACATTCTAGTATGAACTTGAATTATTCATGTCAAGAGAAAAATACTGAATTGTTATATAGACATTTATTTTAAAGTACTAATTTGCTCTTAAGTGTGTATCATTTAGAACAACAGGGCAATTATAAAGAAAACAGGACATAAGCATACAGGATGGCTCTCTGGAGTACTGATTTCTAAATATTAATCGAAGGCATAGGGTCTCACTGAAAAGCAAGAGTGATCCAGTTGAAAAGCAAGCACCGTTTTGGCTTGCAGTATAATATTGTAATCTTGAAAGAAATCTCCTGAAGGAAAGTATGAATTATTGTTAATAGTTTTAACAATAAAATATTGTTAAAGTGACAAGATCCAGTTTGCATCACAGTTATCTTTTCTATTTTCTTACACTCTTCTAGAATGTTCTGAAGTGTAAAAACTATTGATAGCAGTTTTACACATTTATGTAATGACATGATAGCTGTAATTAGATGACAGGCTTAAATATTACAACACAGGTCAGACTTAGGCCTGCTTAGAGACTCCTTGCTACCAATTGGGCTAAACAAATCTGTATGCGGCATTCATGGTTTTAAATGTTTACAGAGACTGCCATGTAGCAGTTAAGACTGACAAATGATTATGAATGCATGTGAGTTATAGGTGGTTCAGGAGTATGTTTGTTAAAACAGTTGTGCTTCTAAGGAGACAAATTCCTGTTATTCAAACCATCAGGGACAAACAGGAAGATGTATTCTCTCAATTCTGTAACCCTAATAAGAAAAAAAACTAGTTTTTTTTAACTATTTAAATGAGATGTTTTCTGTGTCTAGAGCATGGGTTCAAATGAATGCTCATCCAGTTTTACCCTTCCATGAGATTTCCCCTTCATTTAATAAATATAAATCAGAGCCTCTCCTACATTTTAAATGTAGGTTAGATGAGATAGTAGGAAAGAAAATGACCTTAATCATTAAATACAAAATGCAAATAAGGATGCTGGCCTAGAATTTTGTTTTCTGAATCATAAGAAAGTCCCAGATCTTGTTTCAACTCTCCTCATCTGTTTCAACTTTGATCTGGTCTCAACATTTCACTTCTTTTAATGTGTCAGATCTTCCCCCCCCCCTTTTTTTTCCCTTAAGCACATAGTTTAGATGAATATTCATGTGACAAATAGGAGAAACCATTAGCAACAAAGATTCTAGAAACTGGATGACAGCTATAATGTCAAAGCTTGTGGATTTTTTAACTTTTTTAAAAAATGGAAAAGTTCACCCTACTGCAAAACAGAATGTTTGATACATATCAACTTAATTTTAGGAGCTTGTTCTTGCCATGATAACTACAATCTTACAGACACACATTGCTAAATCCCATCTGTTCAGTCCACATCTTCCTCCTGTTACTTAGCAGGAAACGTGACATATAAATCTATGCAGTTTATACCTGGACCATTAGAGGGTACTATTGTCCTATAGAAACCAATGATGAACAAAGAGACAGAGGATGTTTTGCTCCTCAGAGACTGCTGCAAATACCAGTAAGTCTGTTTGGACAGATGGTGGAGCAGTTACTCTTCCTATGATGGCTAATCTATTCTGTGCAGAAGCCTGAAACTTGTGCAGACGTGCATATCACTTATAATTGCAACATTAAACAAGCAAAAGGCAAAAAGCAATTTATCAGCATCAAAGGAATACTACATACATTTCATTGTATATCATCTAATTATTGTTCCCAATCCTAAAGATAAAATACATGTTCCAATTTTTTATTTAGGCATTTATGGCTTGTTATTTATTGCTTAGGAGGAAAAAAAAGTTTATGGCTTAGATGGAAGCCATTCATACATTAAGCACATACACTCAAATGACAGATTACCATGCCTGAATAGTTTTGGCCTATGGATACTAAGCAATATATTTTATATTTCCATTATGTTTCAACCTTTCCATTCTAAAGTAGCTTTTGACGGCTGTTTTATCATGAGATAATTGTATTTCAAACATTTTATTCAGAAGGTGATGTGGATGGACTTCAAGAAAGGGGAATGATGTTAAAAAACATTGAGAAGCAGTTTTCAAGCTATTTACTCTAGAGTAGAGCAGAAGACAAGAACAGTTGGAAACAGCCTGATAAAAAGACGAAGTGGCTGGATTCTACCCCTGTTGACCCAGGCATAAGATTACAGCAACTCAGTGAAAGCAATTACTAGCAAATAATCCTGCTGGTATTATGTCCATTGTGCCACCAGGCAGCAGATATGACAGAATAGCACCAAAAAAGGGCCATAAAAAAGAGGAGGATAACTTCTGTGTATAATATGGAGCAAATGAAATACTTTCAGAAAGTTTAGCTTTTTTTTTCTTTGTAAAAGAGAGGAAAAAACATTTGCCCATAATACATTTTTTTCTTAACCCATCAGCTGATGATACAATATTTATTTCAGAGATTTGTTAAAGAACACCAGAATGGATAAGGAGTTATACATTTGCTTCTTTATCTCACTTCCTAGATATGAGTGACATTTGTGAATTTCTAAAATGGGATGATATTCCTCTGATGTCTTGATAAGGAAATATGCTTCACCAGAGACCATGTGGTCCACGGCTTCCCAAAGTAACAACTTAACTACTGACAGATAATCCTACAAAGTGAAGTCTGATCAAGTGACTGAACAACAATAGAAACACTTGATTTGCCTCTGTGCCACTAACCTGAGTGTTTAAGGAGAAATGAATATGTTTTTGTGATCATAATGCTCAAGAAAGAAAAGTGGTGCCTTCCCTCAGCTCCTGTGAAAGGTGCAAGAGCAAGGGGGAAAAATGATAATGTAAACTAAACTGCAAAACTATATTCCAGCATCCTAAAAAAAAGGTATTTCTGCCAGAAATACAGCATTTCCTCAGTTATGGTTAAACTCCCATCCTATTTAGGGATGTACAGATTAGTAAAGAGTTGGTTTGTTTTGGTGTTTGTATTAGGCAATATGCAGCAAA